TATTCACATTTTGCATCACCCAGAGTTTTATAGTAATGGGTTTTGTCCATAAGCTGTATTTTAATTATTGGATAAATCTCTTATTTTCAGTATATCAACACCGGGCATCACTTCATTTCTTAGTCCAGCTCACTCTGTAAGTTGTGGTTTAGTAGAGCGTACAATGTGCTTAGCTAGCATATATTTTCATCTCAGTTGTATAATGAGATGCAATCCGCTTGCAATGGGGCACAAACCTCATCCATCTGAAAGAGGGGCTATTCTAATGAGAGAGCATAGTTTTATTTCAGTCCCACTGCCCTCTGTAATTCAAATGATTTATTTAATGTTAGTTTGCTACTATGGAGTAGTGTCATATTTTTAATGATTATTGAGTTTTAAAGCGCATGCCTTTCTCAGTTATACAGGGATGAATATCTTGCTGTTTGTCAATGTGCGAAGGTCATAAGTAATTAAAAAAAAGAATTTGTCAACCTGTGATTCAGACACTAATGAGATGTAGATCGGAACTGCTCCTTCTATTTTCCTCTGTTGATCAATTTTTTTCAGAAGTCTGGTTGTCAGCTTGTTTCTGACAGCGATCAATGAGCAGTTTTTAATTACCGAGCATTGAATGCTTTGACAGTTGCTTTGGGTTTGGGAATATTGTATATACTTTGGCATCAATCATTTAACTTTACTTATAACAGTCACAAGATTGGTGTTTAAAATCAATCTTTAAATATGTTACAAAATCTATCAAATTAAATAGATAAAGGATAGATCACCACTGTTGGTATCAAGAGATACACCATGCAGAGGAAAAACCGTCTCATGTCTTATTGGCTTCTGTTTATGAATTTGTAGCTGGATAAATCCAAGCAGCAGAAGCTGATCTCAAAGTGACCGGATCGCATTGACACCTCGTGTTAAACTGCACAACTTTAAAGGAGAATGCCTTTTTGTTTTATTAACAGCATTAATATCGAATTCTTAAAATGTTGGGTTGAGTTATGTTGACCAATTTAGAATTGTACGATGTCTAATGTGAAACATGATAGACAATGTTATTAATGGGGAGGTGGGGGTGGTTGTTAAAAAATTAATTAATTGTAGCCTACCATTTCAAAATATGAGAGAGGTAATGGCAATAACCAACTTAAATGTTTCCATGTCTTATAAATGATGACGCTGTAATATTTATTAGTGGTTATGCTTAACAACGAAGCGTTGCACAACACACCTGAAATCAGCTAATAATGTCATTGAAAGTTAAACAAAACTCCTGAAACCTTTAACCTCTACTAAATTTTACCTCTACTAACTCAATGCGCTAAATAAACACAAAACTATTGAACCAACCCTAGTAAATAGTAAAAAGTTTTTTTTAAACCTAAAAATTGAGCCACTTGAATGACTGACATAGACTTGCCCTGAGCTGAAGGTGTTGAGGTTTGTCTTCTCATCTCTGCCCATTTTCTCCGCTTTTTGCCACTTTTCCATCTGCTACTGCCACAGAAAGAGGCAGTTGACTCTTGCAAAAAACTTGTCAAAAGTATAATTGTTTGCCAAATAAGCATTTCACAGTGATAAAATAATATATGAAACAATGTTTCTATTGTAATCTGTTTGAAAACGAGATGAATGCCAATTCAATTAAAATCGACTTATTGCCAACTTTGTGTCTATTCGAAGGCTTTTGACAAAGTTGGTATCTGTACTGCAGCACACAGTACATCATATGTAACAATACATCAGAAAAGTGTTCAATGAGTTTGCATCAGTGCTGCATGTGGTCAACAATGCTCTCCATGCTTGTTCTCTCTGCTATTATTTTCTATAAATACATTTATATAGGGCAAGTTGCTGAGCATTTAGAGGACGTTTTTTGACTGTTAGCTTGGAGATAAGAAGTAGTGATTATCTGCCATTCAGCAATAGTGCAGCTTATAGCCATGACTGACAGGCAGATATCACAGCAATTCACAATCATCTTTTATGACAGTTTGAAAATTAGAGATGATAAAAAAAGACGGGTTTAAAACATGTGATAGTCGATAACGGCAACTGCTCCCCAGATTTTGTGGTCTGAACTTTTAGATAATTCCAGAGTTTTTTTTCCAGGACAACACTTCACATGTATTTCTAATGTTAAGGAACGTTTGGTATAGCATATGTTCACTTGGACAGAGCAAAATTTTAGGCATAGATTGAAGCCCAAGCTTTTTCAGCTCACAACGCCCTGGCAGCTTGAAAAGCTTGACTGGAGTGTTGAAACAGGACCAGGGGAGTCTGGCGGATGAGGCTGTGTGCTGAATATTTTAAATATTTTAAAGGAGGGGTGGGATGGTGCGACTCCTCTGTTGCACGATCTTCAAACAGCATGTGTCTCTCCCATCTGTCCACATCGAGAACATATTTACATTTCCTGGCCGCCAGGGATACAGTAAAGCAAGTTTGCAGTAACTGGATTTGAATATCGTTTCGCCAAGGTTAATAGCCATTTCTGTAGCTCATGAGGGCTGTTTAGGTTTTTTCATTAATTTAGGAAGGCGGCTATTTTATATGAGATTTTTTGTGAAGTAGAGGTGTCTCTTTGAACAATTCCCTTGGGACTCCTACTGCAGTCTTAATTCTGCTATAATTATGGTGATGACGAGGTGTTTAGTGTTGTGGAATTAAAAGTTGTGAAATAGAGGAAGCTATGAAAAGCTTTTAAAGTCTTTCTACTTTGACAGTTTTTTGTTTAAATGCTTGTTTTTATTGGTTTGAAGTTAAGTGTTTGTCAGGAATAAATATCAATTTAATGTTTCTAATGGATTGATTCATTTAATAATCAATTCATATTTATTCATATCTTTTCCACTTTAATTCTGCAAGGTGTTTGAGCACCAACTGTGATTTTGTGTGAAGGAAATAAAAGAACCCAGAGACGGAAGTATTATTCAACACAGCCTTTACGGCAAATCTTTTACAGTGTAAAACTGAAAAATAGAATAAAACAAAAGTGAAAAAGAAAGCAGCCCAGAGAAGCATCAACATGAGCTCCCACACCCCTCTGCTTTTCTCACCTTGCACTGGCTGCGCATGCTGGCATTCACGATTACATATATAATCGTAGACGCATTCATACTGCTGAGAACTTTACTGCACTCAACTACTTTCAGACTTTATATTAATCATAGTGTTTAAGATAAAGGCTTTACACACCAGGAATGATGCGATTATTCATATCAAGCACAATGTGAATACGCAAAATACTTTTCCAGAAAGATAAAATTGATTGATCTAGTGATGATGACATTGTGCCAATAGAGTAAATTAAAAACAGTGTACATGCTGTATTAACAGCTCAGTGAACTGGCCCTTCGATCTGGATTGCTGTGAATATGGGTTTGAATCCTGGGGTTGCCATAAATTTTTGTTAAATTATTATTGTGCAATGCTGTTCAACAATTCATATAAATTGAAATTGCCATGGTAAAGTATGGAGGAACATAGTCACAACTGAATCCCAGCGTTTAAAATAGGCATACTCAACTTCCAGCCATGGTTTCTGCTGTATTATACGTCAAGAAAGAACCGGCTGGTTGTCTATGCCAAGTTGTAAACTTGACTGAGCTAATGGTCTCTTAACTAGTCTTCAGTAAAATGAAGATGAAAAACTGATGTACAGTCTTCCAAATACTGGCTTGCTCCTTGATGCCCACTCTTTTTTTTCCAGAATAGTTTCTGATTTTAGGTTACACTGTTGTTTACCAAGAATGAAGGCAGAGCTGTATGTTTAGCTACCAGGGAAGGTCCAATATCAGTATGTGAGCTGCAACTTAGGCTACTTAGTTGCTGGCTGTAATAAAATCAGTTTCGATATAAAACAAACATTTTGAGTCTTGTAACTTTCTGTAGTTTTACAGTTTCATAAGATCCTATACATCAAAAATTCTAGCTCTTTTTGGTTTCTCGCTTAATTTTTGTTTTTCTGAATACATTAAAGTATTGTGGACAGTATTTATGAAAATTGTGTTTAGGAAGGGGCTTCTTGAAATTCTCTTTTGTTGCTTTGTTAATTAGGTTTGTGTCATTGCCATGCTTGAATGCCATGTCATGCCCAGCCATGACCAATTTGTAATGCCTTGGCTTAGGGATGGATGTTCTCAATGTTTTATGGTACATGGCTTCTTCCATTGCAGATTGTAGTTGCCATTCCTACCTTGTATAGGTCAGTAGTCTCATCCCTGACTTTCTTTAATGACTCTTTGCTTTTGATTTTGGAATCTCATTGATTGTCCTGCTTTTATGAAGGTTACTCAGTGATATTCCCTTTAAGAGAGGCTCTTAATCTAATCTAGCCACCTGATTAAAAGGCAACTGGGAGCCAGAAATCCTGATATCAGGTCTGTTTCCCTCACTGTAGTGTAAATCTGAATTTACAGAACTATTAATGATTTATGTTTGAGTTTATTACAAGAAACTCTTTCTTCACTGATGGCCATTGTACTCTTGACCTCACTTTCCCAGGATCCTCTCTCCTCTAAAGGATGTTCCTTATTAACTATGCTAATTGCTGAGAGTTCCTTCACCTTCAGTCCGTGTCTGTCTTTAGGAGATTAAGCCAAAAGCGTATCCCATGATGCAAATCTTGGCCATCTAAATCCTCTGGCATGCACTGCTGACTCTTCCTAACTGCGCTCTGCTAACAGAAGCACATCACGGCCCAGCTGAGCTCTCTTGTCAACTCGTCAAAGCTGCTGCTCATCTACTACTGACCTTGTTTGGAACAAGTCAAACGTTAAGTCAGAGCATTCAGAGGTCAAATAGTAGTTTTATTTTTGTTTAGCATAAATGTATACATAATAATGTTGGTTCTTGTCACATAACAGAATAAGTCCACTTTCATATCCTGGATTCTGTTAAACCATCACACAAGCAGGATGTGTGATGCTGTGTCTTTCACAAACTTTCAGTTTAAATGTAATTGGTACATTTGAAACTTGTTGTTTAGTGTCGTTTGAATTGTAAAGACATTGTTGCTTAGTCAGTAAAGCATTACGCTAGCAACGAAAAGGTCATGTGTTCAAACCCCAAGCAAAGCAGGAATTAACAGAATGTGTTATTTGCTTGAAATGTAAGTCGGTTTGGATAAAAGCATCTGCCCAATGTTAAGGGTGTGAGAGTCCCCGATTCGCTCTGTGCATCAGTAATAATCTGATTTGTAATCATCAGTAATAATTTGATTATTCACAATTGTTAGCAGACATGCTCTACTTTCATTATTTGGATCGTTTTCTCTACCCTCTAAACTGTTTCTCAAGCAAAGTCAGACGAGAGATAGCCGAGTCATTAAGCAGTGCCCAAAGAATTGCCGTGGCTGGATGTCTTGTCTCACTGACTCGTATTTGCCGGACTTTTTCAGCTAGAAGAACATAGTCACTGATATGGCTAAAAACATGATTCTGCGCTGGGATAGACCCCAACGTGGTTCACAAAAATCCCTCAAGGTAGACCGTGTCAGAAAGCACATTTTCTCTGTTTATCTCTTGAATAGCATCCTTCAATTGTTTGCATGGATTAGGCATTTACATGTAAAACTTGCTTCGAGATGCAAATGCCACCCTGCAACCGATTACTTTCGTATCTCGGGGTACCACTGTATTCATAACATACTGAAATACATGGCATAATATTTGTTTCATTGCGCCATACAGCATCGAGTCGTGTTGAAATCGGATTGCACTGCAGTCTAACAGGGGTGATTGTATCACTAGCTTGTCCCATGTATCTTTCAAGTATCGTTGGCTATGCGTCGAGAGGCATGTCCTATTAATCTCAGTTGTAGAGATGCACACCCCTAATAAATGTAAATGTCAGGGCAGCATATGTGGATAGTTTAATTACCTTGGCAACCACCCACTTTCACTTTGAAAATGACTGAAGCTGCACTTCATCATCTGACCACTTGAGGCCGGTGTCAAAAGTGAGCAGATTCTCACTGACACCTTTGTTAAAAGTGCCTAACTTTTAAAGATCTTTTTTTAATAAGTCTGTAATTTTTTTTTTATAAAGCAAAGTGTTGAGCATTGTACAAGGCACTGTAAAGTGTTCAAACTGAATTAAAAGCAAAATAAAAAAATTACAATAAAAAGACTGTAGTCAATAAACAAACAAAACATAAAAAAAAAGATTACACTTAATCTCAAATGCCTAAAAAAACAAGTCTTCAAGGTCCTGAGTGGTTTTTTTTGGGATCTTGGGCAGTTAATTCTGCTGTCTTGGGCAAACTACAACCAATAATCACACAAAATTGGTGCATTTAGTGTTTGATAATTGGTTTATGACCTGTTATACAAAGGTTTTCTGTATTTAAACTATTGCCAATGTTTGAACTTTGCCAAAGAAACATCGTTTCCATTATAGAAACTTTAAATGTTTGAAATGGTTAAAAAAATAATAAAAATTGTATAAACTGAGTAAACAGTGTTTTCCATGGTCTCGTATAATTGTTTCATTCCTGTTTGGTGTGTACAATATTAGGTCGAATTAAATGGTACACCTGGACGTGCAGTAAAATATGCCCTTGGTTTACTAGCCTCACTTCAACATAGAAGTTTGGTCGAATTTTATTATTCATATGTGCTAGTCAGTTGATGACAGCTATCATATTTTAATAACGAAAACCAATTAGTTACAGTCATGAATGGGAAGAATGTGTTAATTTTTTAAATCCAAATGCCCCTTCAGGATTCCACCAGTTAATTAAATGTGAGGGCATTTGGAGGTGCTAATTAAGCAGAATCATTTGAATGGGTTTATAGCAGAGCATTGGCCAGTAATTAGGCTGTTGGCTTGGGATTGCGCCATTTATGGTCCAATGCATCATACTCTTTAAACACTGTTTTTACAGCCATCACATGCTAAACGTTATGGGGTGTTTTTAATGGTTCTTAGTCTTTATAATGTTATGCTTCCTCCATGGTGGAGTGATCCTGCCTCAGGTGGAGGAGTTAAAGTATCTTAGAGTCTTGTTCAAGAAGGAAGAGTTAGGCAGGAGGTGTCAATTTACCAGCCAATTTATGTTCTTACCCCTACATTTGACCACGAGTGCATGATTAGCTTTTCCATCAGATTTTAGTAACAGCCTGGTATGATTTAGCTCTGCTTACCACTGATCACCTCTGTGTTTTTACCGACTTGCAGTATGTGCTCTAATTGGAATTGTTTTAAACAAGTCATTCCACTACAGCGCCAAAGCACCAGATTACAAATGAAAACTCATCTTGGCCTAAGTTGATAGGAAAACATTGCTAATACTATAAAACTAAAAATGCTTGGCTGGTGACAAGGCACATACCTTTTAAATAGCTCGGCAAGTTCAAGGAAATAGACAGGACCAAAATTGACAGATATTAGAGGAAAAAAATTGTTTCCTGACAAATTATGTTTCAAGAACTGTTTTAAACACAACTGTCTCTTTTTATCAAGCATATGCAGATTACAAATCTTCCCACCTCAACTAACAGTTTGGTGGTGTCTATTAAGCTCTTTTCCACATATTTTAGGATTTTATTTTGTTAAAAGGATGTTTTTAGGATGTTTTAGAATCTTAATGCTTGTTTTTATTCATTCATTTGTCATTTTCTAACCCGCTTATTCCCTTTTTTGGGTCACAGGGGTCTGCCGGTGCCTATCTCAGGTGCACATCGGGCGAGCGGCAGGGGTACACCCTGGGCAGGTCACCAATCCATCGCAGTGCTTGTTTTTAATATTAATGTAATGTTTGTTTCAGTAAAGTTTAAGTTGCTTCTATGCAAAACATGAATTTGTTTGTACGTGGAAACTCCGACAACCCTACCATCCAAACCAAACCCCTCTTGGAAAACAAATCTCAATTTGTCATTGTTGGTCAGAAAAAGTAAGGAGTCATGGAGTTCATGGTTGTATCATTTTCTTTTGAAATCAAACTAACACTGGAATTGTTTTTTTAAGAAATGGCATTACACACTGTAATGACTCATAGCCTTGATTGAGACCAAGACCCAGCCGATGACCCAGCCCATGCTAAGCTGAGACCAAAAACAATGAATTCTTTATTGCAAACAATAGACATTGATGTAATTAGCGTTTTTTTTTTTTGGTGTCTAAGCAACAATCCCTCAATTCAGTACTTAGAAATAATATTAACAGTTCTCACCTATGACTATTTTATGAGAATTTTTTTATGTGCCAGAAAGCCGTCCATGTTACAATAAGTTTAAAGTTAAGGTAAATTGTTTATTAGAATAGTTCCCTTTCAGTCGGTCCCGGAGACGTTAGTCGGGATTAGACCGACTGAATGGGAGCGAATCACCGTGAGAGCGACTGACGAACATATTAGCGGGCAAATTAATTTGCAGGCGAAGGTGATTGATTAGCAATCAGCCGGGTATAAAGCCGGGCGTGCCTAAGCCTCAGTATGCAATTTTCCTTCGGAGCTGACTGAGTGAGACTCTCTCACCTGAACTTTGACGCTTCTAGCTTGAAAGATCAGCAGGTTGCTTACCTCTTGGCTCTTTTGGTGTGACCTCTGCTAGCTCAGAATAGCATGCAACCAACAGCCAGCACCTCGAAGATCTTCTCAGGCAAGCCTGTCCAGTGATTCAGCCATTTTCTCAGTATCCTGTCCATTTTCCACGACACGATGAGCAAAACGTGCACTATTCCTGGCTGTTGTGGGCTTCTCGTTGAAAAGACGGTCACGGGAGTTTCGCGATGTGTTTGGTTTCCAGCACACCGACGCGGCTCTCGTGAAGCGCGAGTGGTTGCATTGCAGCACTCTGCTGAGTCGCACGCGGAAGTTTTGGGTAGAGCGGCGTCAGGTGATTCCTCGCGTCATCCCCAAACACTTGGTAGGTTGTCGCGGTGCTTACCCCGACAGCGCTGCTGCTTGACGGTCTCGTTCGGGTGTTCCCGCCAAAGCTGGGAGGTTTCATCAGTCCTGATGATGAGAGCTTATTCAGCTGCAGGTAAATCTGCTGCATTATTGCATGCTATGGCGACCTTACAGGTCCTCGGTGTCATGCACCAGGGTGGTGGTGACCAGCAGTCTCTCTGAGACTCGCTTTCAGCCGCTGATTGTCGCCTAGTGCTACAAGATCAGCCGTGCTGAACATCGGTCACGCGATGTCCACGCTTGTGGTCCAGGAACGCCATCTGTGGTTCGAGCAGGCTTCAATGCGTCCCGAGGACCGATTTTCGGCTTCGCGCCTGTCTCCCCGGATGGCCTCTTTGGCGTCGCCGTGGAGATTTTCGTCAAAGGTCTCCACGATCAGGAGGCAAGCGGAGGGTCTGGGTATAGTTCCACGCCAGAAGCAGCAGGCGTTGCTTCTGGGCCGGAACCCTCTCCGCCTGTGCGCTGCCAAAGAGTACGTCTCCTGCCTTGGTTTACTCCTTCGACCTCTGGTCCGGGGAAAACCCCTGCATGCGGAAGGCGGAGCCAACCTCTGAGGTTTTCGAAAGCAGACGAGGGTTTCTAGTGAAGCTCCCCTGAGGTAGGCGACTCGGGAGGAAACGAGCTCTTCTTTGGGTCTGGTCATCGACCCAGCTCCCCCAGGGGGGGGAGTCCACCACACACTCCTCGCTGCCGTCCTCCGGGACGGCGGCACCTATTGTGTCAAAGATAGAACTCACTTCCTACCCGAGAATAGCGGTCTCGCATGCCCGCCGGTCTGGGGTTCCTCTTCCTCGGTCTCCGACGAAGACCCCGACATGGGCCCGAGCCCCGCTGGCCATGGCAGAGAGCGCGGGGGCACACCACCCCTGCCCTCATCTGACCATCTCCCAGGGTACTTCCCTGGTGATTCCGCCCACAAGTCCGCCTCCGGGCGGCCCCGCCATGGGGACCATCGGCACGTCCCGACCACGACCCCTGTCAGCTTACCTGGGAGCCTGGCGGAAGCTTCCCGGGGTCTCACAGTGGGAGGTCCGGACAATCCGGCAGGGCTACACGATTCTCAATTCGTGTCCGCCCCCAGGTTTCGAGGTGTGCTTCACCTGTTCCCCGAACAGGCGCCTCATTCCTGCGAGAGGAGATCGACGCCCTTTTAACAAAAAGTGCGGT